CAGTCTGGGCTGTGAGAAAAGGGGAAGGGGAAATAAAAGGAGAGAAAGATAGGAGGTGCCTGCCCTGGAGATACGAGGGACGGTAAGAGGAGGTGTGCAGGGAAAGGAACTGGGAGACTAACACAGTGAAGCTGTGGATGGAGAGGAGTCAGGCCTGGGGGCAGAGGGAGCAGAGGAAGGTGCAATAGGAGTTGTATGAGAGACCCAGTAGTGCCTTTGGCCCTTGCATCTAACCTACTTGCAATTACAAGTAGCAGAATCCAGCTGTGGTCCCAAGAAATCTTCCCCTGGAGGGCTGGTGGCAGTTACCTTCTGCTCTCCTGGCCCTGGCAGTGTGTGAGATCCCTGCTCCTGCCTTCTGTTTTTCAGCCCCTCCTGTGGAGAGAAGAGGCTGCCCCCATCTGAGCCCCTGGGCTGTTCTGATTCCTGCCCTCATCCTTAAATCCTGTGTCACACATGGCTGCCTTGGTGGGTGTTGGATGCTATATATTCAAAGTCACTCAGGGGGAAGGGATGGGGAGAGATATAAATACACGATACTGATTTTATTACTGTCATGGCAGATGGTCCTCTAGGGATGTGCAAGGGACAGATTGTTCTCTAAGGATCAGCTCTCCTGTTCTCCCATCCATCCTCTTAGGAAGACAGAAGGGCTCCTGGGTAAGGTTGTGACTGGTCGATTTGGCTGCAGTGGGTGGAGATCACCCTCTAGTCAAGCCATGGGTCTCCCTGCTGCAACAGTCACTGAACTTCATGCTAGAGCTGAAGAAGTATTTGTCATTGATCCAAGGGCTAAGAGGGATGTTTAGACCATCTTCTCTGACCACTGCAGTTTCACCCAGTTACTGCTATAGCAAGCTCAGTAATGTGTGTGATTGAGCCACATCTTGCAGAAAAGCTTCCAGGCTTGATTTGAAAACTGAAATGGTGAATCCACCACCTCCCTTGGAGTCTATCCCCACATTTAATCCCCTAGGGCCAGCTGCAGATTGGTAAATTTGGTACCTCCATGGGATGTAGATGGGATTCAGTTGCTTAAGTAAAAACAAAAATACAGATGCAGACTACCTGTGATTCAGCCCCTGCAAAGCTCCCCAAGTACCTACATGTTGGATGGCCATGTGGCATTCTAGTCTTTTCTGAGCTTCTTAGTGGTTGTTTTTGGCTATTATGTGCCCAGAGGAATTCTATTCCTGGAAGCACATGGACAACTGCCTAGTTGCAAGCAAACAGGTAGTAACAAGGTGAGTGAGAGAGCATGTAGGTAGGCAGTTACATTCAACCCCTACCCCCACAAATAGCCGGGGGGGCTGGGGCATTCACATGGGAGGCCAGAACATCTGGGTTCTCCCCACCCCGCTTAGAGGGGGTTTGAACATGGGTGAGTCTGACAGCAGTGAATTCATGAAGTGCAACAGCTGTGGTCCTTTTCACCCAAAAACATGGTGTAGGAAGGTGCCTAATCCTCAAAGGCTTGGAAGCCAGCTGCAGGCAGTAAGTGTCACAACCCAAAGTTGTGGTTTTTTGTTTGTGTGTGCTTCGGCACCGCTAAATTATGTTCCCGCTAAATTGCAGCTCCTTTGCACGGTGGAGTTTTCTGCTGCAATAAGAGAACCCGCGTGCAAGAGGGTATTTCCCGCCAGTTTGTAGCCTTCTTTGCATGGTGCATTTCTTTTGCATCTAGGAGATGCATGGTGCAAAGGAGTTCCCGCCATTTGTATTTAGATTCGAGCCACATTATTGGCCAGGTCTAAATTATGCACACGTGGC